CGACGTTTATGGCTGAACTGCTGTGTCGCTGATTTGGCACGATGATGGGAAGCGGCCCTGCGCGCTCGTTAATCATTCTTTCGGAGTTCATTTGACACCGCTGCGGCCAAAGGATGCGCGCACGGCCGCTGAATTAAGTTTAAGCGGCAGCTTAAACACCTGTCATGAGCAAATTCCCTGTGCTCTTCCAAATATTGAACAAGCATATATTTTTGCTCATTTGTCACCCTTCTACTGTTGCAGTTTTCCATTTTTAATATGAATTACAAGAATTTTGATTTAATCGAGTATTTTAAACAAACAACAATCTATATATTACCTATTTTTGGTTGATTTACTTTTTAGCACCGAATATTTGTCGTCGTCAAATTTGCAGGCTTTTAAGCGAAAAAGAAGTATTTTTGGCGATCGAAAAAACTCTGGAATCGCCATTTTAGCTGTTTGAGCTGTCAAACTCAGTACACTCACTTTATCTGGGTTCATTTTGTTCATCGCTAAAATTAAGACAAAAAATGAGCGAAAAATGGCGATTTTTAGAGTTGCATTTTCATGATAGAATCGCAAAAATCGCTCAAAATTGCTAAAATTCATTTAGCACTTTTTGGCGTTGGATTTTTAGCGATAGCGAATGTCGGAATCCGGGTGCTGGTTGCGCTTTCGCCAAGTGTACGGTGATACCAACAAAGAGTGTCATGTTTCGGTGTAGACTAGCCCTGCCGAGAACTAAGTTAGTTCAACTAACAGGTCGTTGCGAATGAGACGCTGTATTCGTGTAGCTCCGGTCGTTGCGGACGAAGTTACGTTGATTATTGCGTGTGATGTGATCTAGCCTGTTCGTCAATTCGGAGATAGCAGCTTGCATGCCGTCATCCGGTACCTTTACAACATTAACATCAACATTTGTTGCAGAAGTTTTCATTATAGTGTTAGCTTTCAAAGCCAATTCTTCAATGCTGTCATCGAGCGTTGCTAAAATTTGCTGGATATTAGTTGGAAAACGTTGTAACCACAGCGATTTCAAAACTTCCTTGTCAATGTGTTGATCAGCCAAGTCTTTCCTTTCGCGCGGCAAAGTTGTGGGTTTCTTGTCTCCCAATCTGCACCCTTCAAATAATCGTTTCAAACGTTTTTCTTTTGATTCCCCAAACTCAGTAATCAGCCGCACTTTCGAGAGTTTGTACTTCCCTGAAGCCGGTGGTGACGTAATTATGTCGCTAGCAAGTGCCAACACCGCTGAATCAATTTCTGCCACTACAGTGTAGAACTTGTTGTTGTTGTTGTAGCGGCTACAACAACCCCGCCCAGATCGGTTAGTCCCTCAATCGTTGTCGTCAAGCTCCACTAACGACAGCCCTAGGAAGAGCGCAGCCTCGACGGGGTCTGTCCATAGGGACAGAGGCGTTAGCGTGCTGGGGTTTAGAGGGCATACGAAGAGATGCTGTGAGTCATGGGGCGACTCTCCGCATGCCGAGCATTCGTTGAGAATATCTTCGTTTAATCTGCTCAGGTATGAGTTCAACCTGCTGCAGTAACCAGAGCGCAGTTGGGCTATTTTGGTCCGAGTCTCAGGAGGCAGACGAAGTTCTGCCTCGTCCACGTCTGGTGGTTGTGTGCTCAGAACGGCATTCACAGGTCGAGAGTCTACATAACTCGAGACTGCCTCTGTGAATGTCGTTCAAGGCCTGTCGATAAGCTGTCGGGTCCAGAGGTTG